TTTTGTAGCAAGTCCTTGTCTCAAAAAAACAGGGTTTGGGGGGCTGGTGTAGTGGCACAAGTGGTAGAATGTCTGCCTAGCAAACATTCTAGGTCCTGAGATCAAACCCCAGTACTACAAAAATTTAAAAAAGGTCTGCATTCTCATCTTTCTTTCAGTTAAGTACCGTCACATGACAAGATCTGGCCAGCAGGATGTGAGCAGATGTGAGGTTCTAAATCCCAGACAAGTATTCTCAAAGGCCTAATAGTGCTCTTCTTTCTTCTGCCTCTTTCTTCTTTTGAATGCAGGACACAATGCTCCAGCCTCTTTCTTCTTTTGAATGCAGGACACAATGGCTCCAGCAGCCATTTTGGTTCATGAGACAACTTAAAGAGAGGAGCAAAAGGATATACAGACCCTGGATCCCTGACACTGTGCTTTAGTTATCTAATATTGCATGACAAAACACCTTAAACTTAGGGATTTACGATGTTGGTGGTAATTATGACCTCCCAGTCATGTGCACTGGGTAGAAGATTAATGTAACAATATATCCACCTAAAATTATTACTATTTTAATTCTCTTTCTTCCTCTGCCTTTCTTAATCATTGTTGTTATTTTTCAGGTTTCCTGTGGGTCAGGAATTCAGGATCCACATCTGAGAGATTCATTGATACTGGTTGGGGACTAAGAGACCTTGGCTCCTCTTTACACCACGCTTCTCCACAACACGGCTTAAATGTCCTTATGGCATGGTGTCTGCCATCCCAAAAGTGAATAATTCAAGAGAACAAGACAGGAGCTCAATGTCATTGTGAGTCACACACTGTCACTTCTGCCATATTCTTTTGATCACTGAAGTTGGATCTACCAAAGGGATCTACAAATGGGTGGTTGGGGACTATCTTGGGAGCTCACCACCTCACCATAGAGTGCCAGACCAGCCTGACTTCCAAATACCTTGAATGGGAGATAAATACATTTTCATCTTGCCTAACTAACTTGAGGTTGTTATTAACACACCTATGAGTTCTTGACACAAAGTGGGCCCTCAACAAATGCTGACCATCTCGGTCTATCCTAGAAGCAGATGGAGGTGTAAAATGTCCTATGTTCCCCTGTCTATGCACAACAAGCACATGTAAGCACCACAATCTAGGATGAAATTTGGTACAAGGGAAGTGTGGGAGGCTCTGTATTAGCCTCCTTCCTTCCTTCCTCATTTTCTTCCATCCTATTCGTTCATTCTTGTCCGCAGTGCGCCAGGCTTCAGCCTTGGATGCTGGGATACATTCCCTGTATCCCTCACAGCCTAGTGAGGAAGGGAGCATGATGAGATGAAAGTCCACCTATTTCTCTGTCATTAGGAAGTCAGCTAATTTGAAGTGGTCTCCATGCCCTGCTGATGGGTATGCAAACTGGACAGTTGTGCACCAAGACCAAGTATGCGTGTTCCCTGTGCCCATGACCCTGCCCCTAGAAATACATCCCCAGTCATACATGCAGGAGTCCAAGTCTGAACCAGAAGCACACTGCCTCTTGGCCAGGAAGCCAGGGTCCTTCACCAGGGAGTGGGAAAAGGAGGTGTGGAGACGTTTGTGCTCAGTAGCAGTTAGAAATGACAGCCTTGAGTCAGACCACACACAGAATATTGTCAAGGAAACAAAATATAGCAAAATGGAAAAAATCCAAGGAACAGATCTATGGAAACTACCATTTGTAAACAATAATGACCCACTGATCACTGATGCCTTTAATCCCACCACTCCGGAGGCTGAGACAGGAGGATCACAAAGTCGAGGCCAACCTGGGTATATAACAAGAAATGTCAAAAAAAAAAAATCCAATCACACAACTTAGCACCATATGTTTTATAAGGACATGTACATTCTCAAAGCATTCATGAGAGGGACGGGGAGGGGAATGGGAATGAAGGAGAAGGCCAGGGAGTCAGGGGCCAGCTGCCATTCCCTCATCTTGAGACCCTCCTCTCCTCTCCCCTGCTACCTCCTCCGAGGCTCTCAATTCCTCTGGCTGCCCCCATGCTACCAAGAGGTGGGGAAGAAGCAAGGGCTGCCAAGTCAGACCAACCTGAGCGCCTGCTCCCGCCTGCTCCCGCCTGCTGTGACTCAGTTGAGCCACTCTCCCCTCGCTGAACCTCAGTTTCTCCATGTATAAAATAGGAAGGAGGATAACACCTCAGAAGGTTGTGACAGGCAGCAAGTGTGACGAACAAAATACAGTCTCTGCCTGGTGGAGCTTGTATAAAGTGGAGGGAGACAGATGGACAGACAAATGTGTTCACTGTTGTATCCCCAGTACCACATCTGGGCCCAGCTCATAGCAGGTTCAATTAACACTGTAGAATGAAAGAACGGATGAATGAACAGCACAGCAGTGATAAATGTTAGAGAAGGAAATAAAGGGGGGTGGGGGTGGATAGAGACACGGCTGCTTTCACCCCAGCGGTCAGAAAAGGCCTCCCTGAGATGAGATTTGAGTTGGGGATTAGCTAGGCAGACATCTGGGGCAGTGGTGCCAGGCGGTGGGCTCTAGGGATGAGAGGATACAGATGTCTTTGGCACAGAGTGATCAGAGAATGGAGGAGCTGAGCTCCCCCTCACAGACAGACTGAGAATGTGGCGAAGCCCCAGCCCACTCCCAGTGACAAGTCCTAGGACAGCGAACACCTCCTTGGCTGTGGGCTGGGACCATCCCTTACAGGCAGTGGTACAAACTCCTCTTCTGAGCTTTTGCTGTATGCCAGGCCCCGCTTTCTTGGCATAAATTCTGGGCACCATCACCAGCCCAGGGAGTGGGTATTATTCTTATCTGCAGTTTTCAGAGCAGGAAAAACGAGATTCTGACAAGCAGCTAACCTTGGAATGGGGGCTGGGTCTCTGATGCCAGAGTCTGGCTTGCTCCTACCACATTGTCCTGAAATTCTTTGTTTACAGCTTGCCTTCCTTTCTACAACAGCAACATCTTGGTCTCATTCATGATTTTATTTTACTCCCAGAGTCCCATATGTCAAAACCTGCCAGAGGAGCAAATGAATGAATGAGCCTACAGGGTAGGTCCCCTCCCCGCCTTCCGGGCATCTCCACTTCTGAAGTAGAATTGGAAGGGGGCTGGACAGAGAATTTCAAGCCACTTGAGGGTCAGGAGCAGAGGGGAGGGGGAAAAGGGGAGAAAGCGAAAGTGAAGGGAGCTGGGAGCCCCTGTGAGGAGGCGCAGACAGGGAAGGAAATCTCCCGGTAATAATTCATCTGCTCAGGAAGCAGCGGCCAGCCTGGAGCTGTATGTGGAACTAGCCCTGTGGGGAGGGGGCCGAGCTGGCTCCTTCTCCTCCTCCCCAAAGTCCAGCCTGGCTGGGGTCACGGTCAAATGGTGTGGGGGTGGGAAACCAGGTGTGGGAACAGAGTCTTCCCTTGGTCCTTGGGTTCTGAAGGCTCAAGAGGCTTCTCTCTCAGCGGCCAAGGGAAACCCATTAGACCCCCCACTTTTCCCCTTTCTAGGCTGAGTCAAGTAAGTTAGGGAAACACAGCTGGCATTTTTAAGAAAAGCAACACTAAGAAAAGCCAAATGCACCTAGAAACTTTTTGACCCCACTCGGTATGTTTTCTGCCACTCAGGCTGCCTTTAAGATTGAAGACAAAGTTATAGGCCAAGTGGACACTGACTTGGCCAGTCCTGGGAGGAGCTAGGAAGCAGGTATGAGTGACCTGGGGGACCCAGGGGCTAACATCGGCTCAGTTATTCTTTGCAGAGGAGGATGAACACTCTAAGGTTTCTAGAAGAAGATGGCACTGAGGGAGGATAGCCTGTGTGTGATGGCATGGTGGTGCATGCCACCAGGTAGGGAAGCCAGCCTTGCTAGGACTGGCGCCCCCACTCCACACCTGTAAGACTGAACCCCAACACTCTTATCTGTAAGTCAGGCACTGTCCTATAATACCTCAGCTGGGCACAGTAGAGTACCAAGCACTGTTGGTCAGCTCCACTAGGGTAGGTGAGAGCAGACCCCATTTTGTTCAGATCTGTAACCTCAGACCTAAAACCATGCCTGACACATAGTAGGGACCCAGTAAACATTTTTGTTCAGTGAATAAATGAATGGATGAAACTATTGGTGATTGTGTGTTTTGGTTTTTCTGATCTTTTCTTTTTTGTTTTCTCCTTTTTTCAAATTAAATTTTATTTATTTATTTTTATTTTGCAGTACTGGGGCCTGAACTCAGAGCCTACACCTTGAGGCACTCCACCAGCCCTTTTTTGTGATTTTTTTTTTTTTTTTGAGATAGGGTCTCGAGAACCATTTGCCCCAGCTGACTTCAAACCGCGATCCTCCTGATCTCTGCCTCCTGAGTAGCTAGGATTATAGTCTTTTTCTTTTTCTTTTGATTGTCGCCATGGAGATGACATGGTTTGATCCCATTTTGGAAAGATTATAGCATTTCTCCAAGTGTTCCCCATGGACACCACCACCATCATCGCGGGCTTGTACAAAATGCAAGTTCCTGAGCCACACTCCAGAACTACTGAATCATACTGGGGGGCAAAGTAGCCTGGGAAGCTGAAATGTCAAAAGCCCTTCTTCCAGCAGAGCTACAGGATTAGAATCTGAAGGCGGGAAGACCCAACAATCACGTTCCGAGAAGGAAACAGGCCAGGCTAAGAGAAAAAGACCTATCCGCAGTCTCCCAGCCAGTCTAGGCTAAGGACCAAGAGGAGTCGGGACCTGAGCACCACTGCACCACCCAGACCTCCAGCACTTGCCCAGCTCGCCGGCCCAAATCGCGAGCCTGCTGGGCTGGCCTCCAGCTCCCCCGCCGCTTTCAACCTGGGGGACGGGGACCGCCGGGGTATCGCCATTGGCTGGGGCGGGGCGGAAGGCTCCCGATTGGTCCGGCGGAGCCCCCCGCCCCGGCCCTGCGCCGCCCCGTGACTGGCCCCTCCCTCGGCTATAAGGCGGTGGCCGGCGGGGCCGTGGGAGCGCGCGGGAGCGCACCGCGGGGCGCGGTCTACGCAGGGACACGGTCGGCGCACAGAGGGACGCGGTGCGGGGCCCATGGCGTTCGCGCTGCTGCGCCCCGTCGGCGCGCACGTGCTGTACCCCGACGTGCGGCTGCTGAGCGAGGACGAGGAGAACCGCAGCGAGAGCGACGCGTCGGACCAGTCGTTCGGCTGCTGCGAAGGCCTGGAGGCGGCGCGGCGCGGTCCGGGCCCCGGGGGTGGGCGGCGAGCGAGCGGCGGCGCGGGCCCCGTGGTGGTGGTGCGACAGCGGCAGGCGGCCAACGCGCGGGAACGGGACCGCACGCAAAGCGTGAACACGGCCTTCACCGCGCTGCGCACGCTCATCCCCACCGAGCCGGTGGACCGCAAGCTGTCGAAGATCGAGACGCTGCGCCTGGCGTCCAGCTACATCGCGCACCTGGCCAACGTGCTGCTGCTGGGCGACGCGGCCGACGACGGGCAGCCGTGCTTCCGCGCGGCGGGCAGTGCCAAGAGCGCCGTCCCCGCCGCTGCCGACGGCGGCCGCCAGCCGCGCTCCATCTGCACCTTCTGCCTCAGCAACCAGCGCAAGGGGGTGAGTGCGTGGCGCTCGCCTGCTGCGGCCACAGCGTTTGGAGGTGGTGGGGACAGGACCAAAGAGCAGCAGAGACCCCAGTGCGGCGAGGGGGAAGCGACGCAGAATCAGTGATGGTTGCGGCGCCCCCAAGCCCAGGGTTTTGGTGTGGAACTGATGCACTCGATTCACGTTCCCAAAACAGAAAGGGTGCAGGGAAGCCCAGAGCTCAGATCTCACTTAATTGCACGTCCCCCCTGGACAGGCTGGCATGTCCTTTTTTCTGGGAAGAGGACATGAACAAAGAATAGCTAAGACCGTCATTTATGGAACGCTCCCTCTGTGCTTGAAGCTCGGCCTCCTCTTTACCTTCACAAGAGTTCTTTTCAGGCAGGTGGTTAAGTTTTTCCCTTTATTTTATCTCTAAGTAGGATCTGAGGTTCAGCGAGATGGAGTCACATGACCACATTTATGGGAAGCAGGCTCTGGGTTTGCTGTGTATATATTGCCCTGAGCCACCCACATCTCCGGTGTATCGCCCCTCATCCTAAGACCTGACCCACGAGGAAACTAAGACATGGAGACTCGTACCTCTAGCCCAGTGCTGAGGTACCCAGGTGATGAGGAGGAAGCAGAGGATCCCTGACAGTGCCCACCCCACAAGGGATGTAGTGTTGGGAGAGGGCACTGGACAGAGTGCCCTGTTAGGTCAACTGGACAGAGCTGTAATTAGGCTCCCAAGGTGAGCACTAAATCAGGGTGTGGGCCAAGCTGGGAGGTCTGGGTAGCTGCAGAGGCTGCCAGGGCCCTCTTGGCTAAAAACTTACCCATGTCCCAAAGAGCCTGCTTTGTCCCCAGCCTCTCCCCTTCTTTGGCCTGGGTTTTCCTTACAGTAAGGAAACCTATCTGTGTGACAGCATTGGATTTCAGCAGCTACCATTTACATCTGGAGAAGTGGAGACTCAGAGAGTCCTACCTGTTTGGTGGCCAATGAAAGGTCATGGGGCTTGTTTGGTGGCCAATGAAAGGTCATGGGGCCTGTAGTCAGGTTCCTGGCTGCAAGACTTTGATTCTCACAGTTGTCCCTTGCTCCACCCTGTGCTAGGGAGGCCTCTGTGTGTCCTAGCCTCAAACTTGCCCCTCTGGCTCATTAGACTCTCAGACAGGCTTCTCATCTCTTAGCTGCCTCAGTTTCCTAGAGTTGGTCTTCTTAGCCTCTGGCTTGTACTATCTGGAAGGTCCCTGCTTCTCCCTGCCATGGGTCAGTGCCTCAGGTAAGGGTGGGAAGCCAGGACTGGGCTTCAGGCGTGCAGGTGGGGATGTGAGGGCTGGCCAGGCCTCCTGATACTCCCTGACCATCTTCCACCCATTCATTCAATTCATAGCCCCTAATTACCCAGCAACTACTTTTTTTTTTTTCCCCCAGTGCTGGGGTTAGAACTCTGGGCTTCAAGCATGCTAGGCAAGCACTCTGCCACTGAGCTACACCTCTAGCCCCAGCAGCTGCCTTTTGTTGGCTCTAAGAATGTACCTAGAGAAGCAGGTGTGGGTCCCCACCTGCCAGCCAGTCAGATGCTCCCAGTTGAATGGGAGATGAGGACAAGGATGCTATGGTCTGATGGCAGGGGAAGGGAGCACAAAGGGACTGTCAGAGCCCAGAGGCAGCCCAGCCCCAGGGGACTTGGGAAGAAAGGTGGCAGATGAAAGGGTAGAGGAGAGTATTCTGGGAGCAGCACAGCAGGAGCTGGGCTCTGAAATCATAACCTAGAGAAGGAACTGGGAGGACGTTACAGGTGGTGGGAGCACGAGTGAGGCAGGAATTGGCCAGTGACAGTGACCACAGTCTTCCTGAACACTGATTTGTGCTTGGTGTGCTTCATGATTTACCATTTAGGTCCCTTAGCAGGCAGGGAAGGACCCTTTGGCTGTCCCCACCTGCATGGACATGCTGCCACTGGGTCAGAGATGCACAGCTGTTGATGAAGCAGGGGATCCAGTTCATGCCTGACTGGGAATGGGAAAGTGACAGTGGGAGGGCCCTGAACCTGCAGGCCTAAGGTCAAGGCCTGTGTGCCCCATGCCTATCCCACAGCAGTCAACCTGGAGGTCCCCTGTACATCTCAGGCCTGTTCCACAGCTCACAGAGCCTCTCCTGGGTCTGACCACTACCCTGGAATCTGTCTGTGGGACCCAGAGCCCAGCCAAATTTGGCCGCAGAAACCATGCTCATGTTCACAGGTTCCTCTGGGAATAGGTGAGAAGGGTGGTCCTGGCTAGCGCTGGCCCCTCCAGGACTCTGCTGGAAGAAAACTGTCTTGGGGAGCCCTGCTTCCTGCTGAGCTCTGAGGCCAAGAAGCAACAAGGTTGCAGACCCTATCTCTTCACCTTGAGCCACCACCTCCCTCCTGTCCTGGCTCGTGTGGCCTTGGGGTCTTCTTGGAAAGTCAGTATAGCTTCTTGCTGTTCAAGGAGGACTTAGGGCTGGGGCGCTGCCATAGCAGGAGAGACTGGGAGATGGGAAGGAGGTTCTTGTCTCTGCCCCATTTCCCTCTTGTCACCTGGGGGACAGGATCCTCTTGTGAAGCTGTCCCCTGATGGTGTGCTTAAGTGGAAAGTAGTGGAGATGCCATTCCCAGACGGTGCTGAGAACTGTACCTGCGAACATTATAGAAGACTTACTGCGTTCTGACACTGGGCTAGAAGCTTTATCTGGTGGCTCATGTAACCTATATGAACTCGTGTTGCCTGTAAAGTAACTCCACGTCCCAAGTGGGGAAACTGAGGCTCAGGGAAATGAGTCACTTGCCTGAGGTCCAGCAGGCAGTCATGGGATTAAAGGCAAGGACTGTCTCACTTGAGCCCAGCCTAAGCCACAGTGCTTCCCAAAGACCCTTGACTCTGAGTTCCTAAGGGACAAACAGCCTGGAGCCAGTCAGGACTGCTTCTAAGCTCTCTTAGCAGTAACCAGCTACATTCACATTCAGCTGCACCTGGGGTGGCAGTAGAGTCATTTTTGTCCCCATTTCCTAGATGAGGAAACCGAGGTCCAGGGAAGTGAATTGTCCCAGCATTCACATGGGTGGGACTCAGGGCTCCAGATGGCCTCCGACTTGGGGTGGGAGTGGCGCTCCCTGTCCCTGAAGACTTACAAAGTGAAGGGGGGGAAGGCTGGCTTTCTACCCCCAACCTCAACACTCCCTCCTTCCCCCTGCCCCACCACCCTTCTCAGCTACTTTTGCCAGAGTTAGTCTGAGAAGCCCAGACCCAGGCTCTGCTGGGACCATGGCCTCAGCCCCCAAAATAGCCCTGCCTGTGAGTGAACATGCTGTCCCTAGGCCCGATGAGCCTCGAGGGAGGCTGGGCTCACATCTGGATGGATCTGCCCCAACCTGGGCCGGGGGTGGAGGGGGGCAGGGGCAGAACTCCCATATGGTCAGCTAGCTCTTTGCATGGGCCGAGGACACTGCCGGCCTCTTGAGAGCTCACACAGCAGCGTGTCCTGGAAACAGGACAGCTTGTTGGAGTAAGAGTGGTCTAGCCCAACTCTTTTTATTAAGGGGCCAGGTGCCACTAGGCCAGTCATTCAACACTGCAGCACCAAAAAGAGAGAGCACTGTAATGACTGTGATCTGTCTTCCAGTAAGGACGAAACCTGTGTGTCCGACCTAAGAGTATTGTGGGAGGGACTGGTAGAGATGCCCCTGTGAGGTGAGCGACAGGTGGCTTCAGGGGCTGCCACCACAAGCTTGTCTTCCAAGGGTCACCCCTCATTCAGGCAGCATTGATCAGTACCTGCTTCAAGCAATAGGCTGGAAATGGAGCCTCAGAGTAAAGAACCCCTTTTCCTGCCGCTCCTCAGCTCTCAGCCTGATGGGGGAGCACAGGAAGGACCCTGGCTTTCCTTCTAGGTTTTATCCCCGGATATGTCCCAAAAGTCAGGAAGTGCTAGGCCATTCTAGGAGTAGAGAAACCTTCCCAGGGTGACAAGCCCCAAAAGCATATTCCTGGCAAAGGGAAGATCCCCAGTGAGGCAGGGAGGCCACAGACCCATGGTCTACTTTCAAAGGTGGCTGAGTCAGTTGCTGGGTACATGGTCAGGCAGCCAGGGAACCACTGCAGTGTCTGTCCCTCTAATGGAAAATATTATGCTGCACAACGTATTCAAAGTTTGAGGACTGGGGATATAGCTCAGAGGTAGAGCAAGTGCTTAGCGTGCATAGGGCCCTGGGTTCAATTCCCCCCAAAAAGTATGTCTATGCATGAATTTTTTAAGACAACAAATCACATGGGAGAGTGGAAAACGTAAAGAGTCCATAAAGTGAGAAACCCTCATTCCGCCTCCCGTCGTCAGATCCCTTTCTCCGAGGAAGGCCTATCAGTGATTTCCCACATACACGTGTTTCTAGAACCTCCAAGGCAGGCGTATTCCTTCCGTTCTGTTGTTGCTTTTGCCCCTACGCAGTGTCGTCCACAGCACTCCCTTAGTCCATGGTTTCTTCTGCTTTTTGCTCTGGAGAACTTTATTGTGTGGCTGAACTGTGATTTATTTATCAAGTCCCCTGTTGCTGGACACAGAGGTTAGTTCCAGTGTTCCCAGTGACCTGACCCATTCTCCTAAAACCTCTTTCTCCTCTCTGCAGGGTGGCCGTCGTGACCTGGGGGGCAGCTGCTTGAAAGTCAGGGGGGTGCCCCCCCTTCGAGGGCCACGGAGATGAGCCTGGGCCCCTGCAAGCAGGACCACAGAGAAAGAGGCCGGGAGCCAGCCACTGGCTGGGACGGGAGAAGATCCCAGAAGCCAAGCCCACCCCTTCTTTGTGTAAGGACCAGGGGACGATGGCCTAGGCCCAGGACTGTTTGGGCAGGGCCCCTTGGACACCTCCACCGTACCCTGGGGAGCTGAAGGAGCCATTCAGCCCTCCCAGGCCCGGCTGGTCAGAGCAAGGCAGAACTTTCAGAAAACCAAAGACTGTTGGTGACAGAGGGGGCGTGTGTGTGTCTGCGCATGAGTGCTGGTGTGTGTGAGAGCGAGTTGGTGGGTTTAAAATAAAAGTATTTTTAAATAAAAGATGTCATTCCCAGCTGAGGAAGGGAAGGACCGTTTGGCGGCAGGAGTCAGAGGTGGCCCTCCTGGGACCTAGAAAGAGGTATAGCTGTAGCTAGGACTGTGGGGCCCTGGTGGGTGGGCTGGGGCAGGCAGGCGGCCCCCCTGCAGAAGTGGAGGTGACAGTCTCCCTCACTGCGTTTCTCTAGCCAGGGTTGATCTGTTGGGTGTCTGGCATGGTGAGTAAAGAAATCTTAATTTTATTTATTTTCAAATAAGGACTAGATCCGTGGTTCAACATTCAAAGGTTTTGAGATGATGTGTGAAACAAAGTCTCCCTCTCCCTGTCCTTCCAGAGGCTACCTCAGCCACCAGTTTTTGTGACATCCCTGTTCCCTGTGAATATCAAGCACATACAGAAACAAGAGCAAGCACCCGGTGCACCTCCTTCTCCCTCCTTTCCCTGCTTAATCCATCACCCCAAGCCCATGTAGAAAGGGAGGCCTTGCTCCTCTTATCAGCTGCTGTTACTCCGCTTCACAAGGTGACTGTGGCCACATCTACAGTTTTCCACAAGTGCAAACGAGGGCTTACTAAGGAGGCATTCTTACTCCTGTCTTAGTTGGGATGATTTGGGGGACCAATGACAACAAAAGGCACCTGGCAGAGACACCCTGGGGTCTGTCCACTTTTAAAGTCCACAGCAGCCCCTTCCCCTGACCTTCTCCCCTGTCACCATTACGGGACCTGTCCCCCCTCTACCCTATTACAGGACTGGCAGCCCTGGGAAGCAGGAGCTGAGGATAAGGACAGCTGGTCAGTGAAGCCAAGGGCTCCTGGCTCTCTGGCTGGGTCCGTGTCCCTGTGAGGCCAGGATGAGAGGTGCTCAGGAGGCCTGAGGGAAGAGGGGAGGCAGAGAGAAGCTGGAGCAGCCAGGTCGCTGCCCCTACCTTGGCAAAATCATATTTGTATTTGCTATGTTTTTTTCATTTATCAAACGCTTATTTCATGCTACTGATGCAGTCTGGCTCCACTGCCTGTGTTAGTACTCCCTGTGCTCTGCACACTGCTCCATGCATTTGACCCTGAGTGGGGGCTGCCCATTTTGCAGATCAACACAATGTCACGAATCCACTATGTGCCAGGCACCATGCCAGTCATCATGGGGCTGAGCCTAACCCATTTGCTCTACCTCAGGGACAAAAATGAGTAAAAAGGGGGGTGCTGGAGTTGTCAGCCCTAGTCTGAGCCAGTGGCAAAGCCTTAAGCGGTGGCATGAGAGGTGGGAGAAGGAGTATACCCAGAGCCAGTCCACCCCCAGAGCTATCCTCTACCTCCCTTCCCCGGTATTCCAGGGACACAGGTCTTGCCTATCCTGTGTCCCAGTGTGGCCGCGCTTCCCCTTTGGGAGCTAATTAGGAAAGCACATTGCTCTGTACGTCTACCCCACTCCAGGTACAGGCAGCTTCTGGCAAAGCCACAGGAAAAGCACTGTGACCTTGTCAATGGCAGGAAACCTGGGAGTGGGGGCAGAGCAGATACTTGGGTGCTCTGGGCTAGAAGCCCACTTCTGCCACCAGATTTGCTGGTGACCCCAGAGATACTGCTTGACCCTCTGGACCTCTCTGGCTCAGTCTCTAACTAGCAAGAACAGAAAGCATTTGTCTTGCTTTGTTAAATAGTTCTTCTTTTTTTGTATTTGGGTAGTACTGGAGTTTGAACTCAGGGCTTCATGCTTACAAGGCAGGCGCTTTACCGCATGAGCCATGCCTCCATCCCTTTTTGCTAGGTATTTGAGATAGGGTCTCACATTTTGCCCAGACTGGCCTGGACAGCAATTCTTTTATTTTAGGCTGGAATGACAGGTGTCTACCCCCACATCCAGCTTTTTTCTCTTGAGATGGGATCTCACAAACTTTTTTGTCCAGGCTAGACTGAACTGTGATCCTCCCAGTCTCAGTCTCCTGCACAGCTGGCATGATAGGCACACACCACGGCACCCCGCTATTGAGATGGGACCTGAGTGAACGCTTTGCCTGGGCTGGCCTTGAATCACCATCCTCCCAGTCTCAGCCTCCTAAGTAGCTAGGATTTTGGGTATGAACCAAAAGCGCCTGGCTAGGAGTTTTTTAGTAGACCATTTATGCACTAGGTAAATAGTTCAAGTTGCATCAAATAGTCTACAGAGAGAAATGCATAACCTCCCCCAGGCCCGTCCCTGAAGACAGCTCCTGTCAGTGTCTTGAGTGTCCTTCCAGAAAGGCTGTACCAGTTACTGTTTCTGAGAAAAAATATAGGTTTCTCTGCTATCTTCATTGTAAAAAGTTCAGCTGCTGCACAACTGCTGAGATACTATCTATCCCAAAGAAACTCCAGCACACATTAGTCCTGCCGTGCATTCATTAAACGCACACATGCCTTAGCACACTTAGCTAAACCTTTTCATGGAAGCCCAGCACACATCCAGCCACAGGTGCAGGCCCCTAGAGCACAGCTCAGTGAGATTTCACCAGCGAGCACTGAGCCCAACTGTGGACCCGGCACAGCGGTCAAGAAACGCAATTAGCAGCTTCCTGGGGCCACAGTAGGAGCACTTCTACTCACACTGGGTTATTTCCCTTGGATCTCCTTTAAAATACATGTCACACTTAGAGAGCTTACAGTTCGAAAGACACAGGAGGATAAGCTGACCATAAGTTGCTCTGTTCTGGTTCTCAGAGGCAGTTACTGTTAACCTGGGTCTTACAGATTTCCTCAGAGGGGATCCAAGTATACAGGTGTATATGTATGTTTATATATATATATATTGTGTGTGTGTGTGTGTATCACATGGGTAATAGTGTTTTACACCCTACTTTGCACTTCCATTTTTTTTTTTCTTTAACAATACTTCCTGGAGACCCTTGGTGTTCAAGGAGCTGTTTCATACTTTTTTACAGCTGCATAGTGCTCCATTTTGCAGCTTGCTACCTTCCTGGGCAATGGACAGTTAATGTCTGTGAGATTTTGTGAGTTGCAAGGCTAGCCCAATGCATGCAACCTGGGAGAAGCATAGCTGTAGAGCAAGACCCCTGGTTACCATTTTCCTAACACTGCCCCTTCCCACCTCCAGAATGGGCCAGTCTTTTCCAGGCCAACGTGGGGCCAGAGGAATAAAACTGCTCAGGGAGGAGAAACCCAGTGCTGATCTGGTGGAGTGGCTGACTAAAGCCAGCCACCATAGAACCTGACGGTCTGCATGCAGTTCACCCAAACCTTCCTAGACACAGAGCACAAGAATGATCCCAGAGTTCATTTCACAACCAGGAAACACACCAGACAGGGGAAGCAACCTGCCTCAAGTCCTCCAGCAAGTCCCTGGGTCTCCGTCTTTGCCATGCAGGCTGTCTCCTCTAATTCCAGATTTCCAGTGGGTAGTCTTCAGAGGTCACCTGCAGCCATAGGAAATGGGAGCCTAGAGAGGGACAGTGACAGGTCGTGTTGCACAGCATCTGGAGAGCTGAGCAGGGCTTAGCACACAGAGCACCTTTCCCACAGCAGGTCCCGTTTAGGGGCCCAGACCACTTCCATTTCATGAGTTTAAAAGACAGCTGGGTGTGGCAGTGCACATCTATAATCCCAGCACTCAGGAGCCTGAGGCAGGAGGATCCTGATTTTAAGGCCAACCTGGGCTATATCATGAGTTCAGGGCTAAGCTAGGCTACCTAAAGAGACCCTATGTCAATTTAAAAAAATCAGAGTTCTGAAAACGATGGCCTGTTTAGCAAGTTAACTCTTAGTTACTGACACGGTCCCAAGCACAAGACACTGTCATGAGAACGTTACATAATTATTTACAAAACACCAATCCATGAGACATCCAGGTAACAGTGGACATTTTCATTCAACTCACCTGGGTCTCTTTACCTTATATTTTACCTCAAGTGGTTGTGGTATCAAAAGTCTGAATAGCTAAAGGCAATACGAGGCCTTGGGCTGGGTCCTGCAGAGGGGTGGGGTGACTGGGACAATTGACAAAACTAGAAAAAGAACAATAGACTATCGTATAAAGGGTAATCTTCTCAGTTTGCTAATTACTATGGTTATGTAAGAGGACATCCTTGTTCTTGAGTAATAATTATTCTTGGGCCAGACCTGATGGCACATGCCTATAATCCCAGTCCTCAGGAGGCAGAGGCAGGAGGATCTTGAGTTTGTATCCAGTCTGGGCTCTACAGAGCAAGACCCTGTCTCAAAAACCAGAAAAGAGAGTGATTGAGAGAGAAGGGAAGGGGAGGAGAGGGAAAGGGAAGGTTGGGGAGGGAAGGGAGAGAAAGAAAGAGAATATTCTTCAGGGATCAAGGAGTCCAGTGTAGGTAACATACTCTCAAATGGATCTGAAAACAGTAAGTGATCAACACGTGAGGGGGGACAGCCAGTGTGGCAGACCGTTAAAATTTGGTGCAGCCTGGGAAAGGGTAGAAGAAACTTCTCTGAGCCACTTTCATCTCTTCTCTGTATGTTTGTGAATGATTGCAAAATGAAAAGTCAAAAAGAAGCCAGAGTCTTGGCCCCTAACAACGTGAGGGCTGCCAAGTGTTGTCCTGGCCCTTCTGAGTCACCAGGTAGCCCAACAGAGGATAGAAACCCCCCAGTGGACCTAGGTGTCCCTGCCTACGACTCTTAGCCCACCATGTCCCTCAGGAGGCCAAGGTGGTCCAGGGTGATTTATGTCCCTGCCAGCCTCAGCAGCTGTGAGCTTCGGTCCCACCGGGCAGCCGGCTTGGGGGAGAGGGGGGACTTTGCGTGTGAGCGTGTCTAATCCAGAGCAGACTTGCGGACCCCATGGGCCTGGGATCAGGCTCCCAGGAGGCCAGGGTCAGAGGGCAGGCCAACAGGGCCTGGAAACCAGGGAGTCACTGAGGGTGAGCAGACTGGAAGGCAGGAGACTATCCTGGTGTAGGTTGGCCCTTGCTCCTGTGTGACCTAAGATGGGAGTCTGCCTGTCTCTGAGTCTGTACACTGACTGACCTGGGAGAGAAGGCTAGTAAAATACAGGACTTGTTTTTTTTTTTTTTTGAATGATCCCCTAGGCTTAGAAAAATGCTTAACTCTTTTGAGGCCTACCATGTGTCAAGTCTCGGTCTACACACTTGACATAAAATAATTAATATAGCCGAC